GGGACGAAGCTAACAATCAATTCAGCTAGCTATTGTCAGTATGATGGCCGAGTGTCATGACAACTGACAGGCCGGAAAGAAGGTGGATGCGGGAAAAAACCGCTTTCAGAGATCGTTTTCTCCACGACTCCCAGCGCCATCTCCGCTGTGTAGGCGCCTGAGCATGAGCTCGACGTCAGCAGCGTTGTCCCCGCCATCGAGTCCTGCAACGCGGCAAGCAAATGATGGGTCTCGGTACAAAATAATGGTTCTTCCAATTAGTCGTGACGTGGTGGCTCAACGAATCGTTTGGTTTTCAGTACAATAATAAAGCAGGCAGACACTAAGCAGACTGACTCGTTAACATTAAGAAACCGGCCACACAAACTAAGTTATATTATTGTTACAGCAATGGTCCTGCACGTACTTCGGGTAAGACTGTGTGATTGTCTTCCAGGCCAGCTGAAAGCACCTTCCAGCCCGCGCGAGCTCGGTAGAGTCCATGACCAGGTCCTGTTCAGAAGATGCAAAAAACATTCTTTTGCTAGTGGAACAATGGTCAATTGTAGTAGTGTCCAATCAAATCAGTGGCTCAGTGTTACGCTCAGACTTTTCGTGAAGTTTCTCTCTGATTCTACATCCTAAGATTCTGGGTCAGGTCGATCAATCGGGATTGAGCTGGCCTTGCAAGCGGGATGAATTCAGTCAGCACAAAAACTCAATGATGAGGTTCACCTGCAACAAGAACTACTCAGCCATCCCACTTAGGCGGAGCATCAGCCAAGAGTCGAGACTTCATTGAACGAAAGCCTCAAAATCGGCATGTTTCAATCTGGCGTCTCCAGCTGGAACTGTTACAAGCGGAGACAATTCAAAATCAACTTTGCCCATCTCAGTGAAGCCCGCTTAGGCCATAGGCTTCACTGTTGGCTATCAATCACGACAGACTGTGAACAGCTGCGGCACGTGTGAATTGCGCCCACGATGGGCACCCGACACCGTCCATGCTCATCGCATAATGCTCCCGCATGTCAAGCCACTCCTTGCGGAGGCAATTCATGTAGCTCTCATCCTTCACCATGTCCGCAAGCTTGTTGGCAACCCTCAAGTTGTACTTGGAGGCGCACCACATAGTTTTGACCAAAGAGCTTTTCTTGCGGCGAAGGAAATCCGATGGCTTCCATGTTGTCGATTTCCACAATGATGAAGCTGAAAGAAACCCCACAGATTTGGGCACGCGAAACTTCCTCACCTTCTTGGGGGCATGTGGAGTGTCCAAACACATGTTCTTCGCGGGCGGGGTCCGAACTGGAGTGCCCAAATCAGGGCTCCATGACAAAGTTGTGCTCACCGAGCGTGAACGGGGCGACGATTCCATTCTAGCCCGAACAGCACGAGGAGGGGTGAAGGCAGGCTTGTCATGAAAATCATCACCACTCGCCATTGGGCAATACGACAGCCTTTGAAATTGGAAGTACTAAACTCGCAATCCGGCTGGGAAGCACCAAAATGCTGCGGGCAGACGGCTGTGTTTGGTAACGCCCAACGTACGACTTAGCATTTCACTGTGTTGCTTACTGCATGAATGATTCCAATGGCATGGGGAAGCCAACCGTTTTATGAACCAATCGTCAACGAATAATTACAAGCAAAACACCCCTTCCATGATTCAATCGAAATGTCAGGTTGAGTTGAGACCCCGCTGTCCTGCTCTGGCGTCATGCTGCATGAAGTGGACTCAGTTGGCACAGCCGGCTCTGATGTCACGCTGACGTCACTGAGGTCGTCAGTCTCCATTGCCTCCATGGCCCGCTGGAAGTCATCTATGATCGGATCCATGGCAAGCGCGGAGCGCAGCCACGAGGCGCACGTGTGCAAACCAATGACTATGACTTTGGCGTTTCATGGTCGTTGTTCAATTGATTCAAGTTCAACCCAAATCACCTTGACGACTCATTGACGCAATCCGGAATCATTATTTCAACATTTTACCTCGTTGATCCTTGCGACACTCTGCTAGCACTAGGACTCATTTCTGAAGACACTCTGCTGGCACTTTAAGACTCATTTCCGAAGTGAAGAATCCGTTTGAGCATCTGTGCTGACGCGGTAGTTCAGGCCACGGCAAATCACGGCAAGCTATGGCAGAACTTGGCAATCGCGCTAATGTTCAACTTTGTCCAACAACACTAACTTGTTTTCAAGAATCAAGATCAGTGGAGGGCCAAGGCCCCGACAATCGGTGGTCCGAAGCCTCCGACCCGCTTGTCGGGGGAGTAGACGAAAAAGAGGGTGCAGGGATACTTTGCCACCGAGGATCCATCAAAGAAAATCTCAGCAAGCCAAGGTCAAGTCAACAGCACACGCTAGCACCAGCCACACTGCAGTCTAGCGTTATACATTCGGCCAAGAGGCATGGAAACTGCTGCAATCGCGCAGCTCACATAGAAGTCGGTTGTAGTATGCCACCTGGGCTAATAGCAAATTCAATTGTTTAGTTTGCTTCGATATTGGATGAAGGAGCCAAGTTCTGCCCCTAGCTTAGCCACTGTTAGTTTTGAAAGATAAGGCGCCACTGCCATCTGGGCAAAGTGGGTCACGCTGTGTGTGATACCACGCGATGCAAAAGCGGCGCCAATGGTTTGGGCTGCAGCCCTCGAACTATCCTCATTGTCCTTAGACGATTTTCGCGGTGGGCCAAATCAAATTAAATATAGTCTAGGTCGGGAAGCAAATTCACCAGAAATAGTCAATTCAACCAAAAGGCCGGACCAATTGAAGAACTCTGAGAGGGTTGGACGCCACTCCACATTGACAAAGCAGCATCACACATTTGGCTTCGTGTGTGGGCCACAAAATCTTTGCCTTTTTTGAACGCAATTGCGGCTTGCAATTTTGAAGCATCCCCCAGCTGCGAAGCATTCTCATCAATGATCTTGCACAATTGGGAAAGCAAACTCAAAGCCATTGGTTCGCAGAAACTGTGGTGCCTGTTTTCGGCGTCCACTCCATACATGATGTAGTCCATGATGCTTGGGGTATCAAATGATGACTCAATGAGACCTGCTCGCCGCTCGTTGCGTCGTGCCCAATTCCACTCATCTCTCAGAGAATTGCGAATGCCAGCCGCAAGGGGCCATACAGCAGAGCCATCAAGCAATAATGTTGGGCGCAAAACCACATTGTTCCAAGTTTGACTTCCGCTTTTGCGAACTTTGACAACTGCATCACCTCCCAATGTTGAGGCAAGCTTGCTCAGAAGAAGGCCCAAAAAGTTCTTTGCCCGGGCTCTGTCATTTGCCGACCTCTTGTTTTGCGACATCGCCCATGCTAGAAATGCAATCATCATGGATGATCTCATCGCGTTGTGGCTAATCCAAATCTTTTGTTGTGTTCCCTCGGATGTCTTGGAAGTTTTGGGCGCCAAGTTGAGTGGAATGCCGTGCCCCGGCCAAAGTCGCCTGTGCCAATCTTCGATTTTTGGCTTGGCTGCCTTGGCTGTAGCGCATGTTCAAACCTTTCCCTTCTCCAACAAATTTCTGGTTCAACAAAATGTGCAATGAATTGAAATGACATCCAGCCAAGCGACATAGTACCGCTCCATCAATTTCTTTTCCGTGTTGGATTGCAGAATGCATTGAGCAATGTGAACTGTAGTCCAGCAAGTTTGTTCGCCAGGGATAACCCAGGCAACCACATCATTTCCCGCAAGGTGAAGTTTGCCTAAGTAGAGCAGCAACTTTACTCTGTTGCGGTCTTAGGTTCATCGACTGGTCAAACTCAAGTAAGGTACTGGCAAATCTCGGGGGAAGATGGCTCAGCCATAGCTCCCGTCGAGCCGAAATGTCTCTTGCAGAATGATGATCTGGTTGGCATCCAGCGCCCTTAACTTTTTGGGGGGGGGAGCTTTGGGGGGGGTAGCATTTCAATTCCTGAAGTACCTTCATTGACTTTGATGATGCAAGCATGGCTCTCTGCTACAGGAAGCTCCGGCGGTTTGCCACGGATAGCGTTCTGGCAAGAGTCTTGGATGTACCGGCAGCGTACGAGCCAGGCAAGTTCAGTGACAAGCAAGATGAACACGAAGCTCGAAGGCGCATTGCTGCCAAAGTGGCAACGCAGGAAGCTCAGGGCAGGGTTGTGGTTGAAGAGCCCAAAATCAAGCCCAGAGATGCCGGGCGTGACGCCCCGAAACAGAGTGCGCCAGCTGAGAGGACCACCGTGATGCTGCGCAATGTTCCCAACAACTACACTCGCGAGATGCTTCTGACTTTGCTCGACGCGCAAGGTCTGGCAGGGTGCTATGACTTTGTGTATTTGCCCTGCGACTTCTACCGTGCTGCAAACCTCGGCTATGCCTTTGTAAACATGGTGGATGGCACTGCGGTGGATGCTGTTTGGAAGGCGCTGGATGGGTTCTCGGAATGGTCGATGCCAACGAGCAAGGTCTGCCAAGTGGGCTGGAGTGGTCCACACCAAGGATTTAAAGCTCACATAGATCGGTACCGAAACAGCCCAGTCATGCACAAGAGCGTTCCTGATGAGTACAAGCCTGTCATTTTCAAGGATGGCCAGCGCAAAGCCTTCCCTCGGCCGACCAAGAAGGTCAAAGCGCCTTCAGGCGCTTGCAAGTGAGCGCTGAGGTCGGCGGCAGAGGCCTACCAACATTCGGATGCTTCGCAGCCGATTTTGTGCAATTTTGAACCTGGAATCTGGTTGCATCTTCATCTCCAGCCCGTGGACATTGAGCTTCCTAAGAGGAACATGTAGAGGCCATTGAACGTGTACAGGCAATCATGTGGTTGCACGCGCTGCAAAGGCAGCGCCGGGAAGGTGGGTGTAAGAGCATTTGTACAGCGCTGGGTTCAGATGGCCGGCATTCATCAGCTGCTTGCCGGCCGAGATCTTGAGCTTTGTGAATGCAGAGCCAAAAAGCATGCCTTGACGTCAGCTACGCACTTGCAGTCCTTCCTTGCTTTGCCCCTTGAGCACCTTTGCGGGGGCTGCTTGATACTTTCCAGGTGGAGCTTAACATACAAATTCCGCCTGGCTGTCCGAATGGGCTGGCGCCTCACTTGGCAATGCTTAGAGAGCGGTATTGCTTTGCGGTTCTGTACACATTTGCCGGGCATTGGATGAAACATGATTCAGTAGTATGACCGTCCGCGATGATCGAATGCAGGGTGGAGCCCTGAATTGTTTGACCTGTCTGCCAGGAACTCACAATATGCATTTCCTTGGCTGGCGGTTTCTTGTTTGAAACGTCATTCAGAAGGGGGGAGGCTGAGCTTGCTGTGTGGCATTCCTTTGCAACCAGCACAGTGCGTTGTTTTTGCCGATGTGACAACGTGCCCTCCTGTGAGGCATCGCATTACATTTGCTCAGAAGGCGGACGAGGCCCCATGTAGATGAGCGGTCTTTGCAAGCCTGAATGAGGTCTTAATCATGAAGGGCAGTGAGCAGCTGTTGTGGATTCTGTTGCGATGTGGTTGATGGTTGGGCTTGCAAAGACAATTGCAGTTGGTTTGACCTAATGGTTCATAGCTTTTGCAGGGTGCCCTGCTCTGGATGCTGACCAGATTTGCCACCAAGAAAACGACATGCAGCCCTTGTTTGCGGCAAACTGCGGATTGCCATTACACCAGCCCTTTTTGGACGAGCCCCGCAAATTGTCTACCGTATGTGTTTGGCTCCCAATATCTCCCTTGGAATTATTCAAGCTGGGCCTTTCCACACAGCTTCCAATGCCAGTAGCTGACAAAAAGTCGAGCGACGGGGCATGTCGTTGGCCTTGGCCATGTCTTGATCTTGCGCCGCTCTCCTGGTCTTCACGCTGGGCAACCATCGCCATGTTGCAGCTCCCTCATGAGGCAGGCTGATTGAGTTGCGTCCAGCTTTTCAGCAATTCATACCCACACGTTGCTTGAACAAATCAGGATAGCTTGATGTGATATTTGCAATATCCAGTATTTGCGTGTGTCCTGCAAATGCACCGATCGCAACTGACTGCACTGAGCGTGCTGACTGTGACTGTGCTGACGGATTGCGATGACTTTGGTTCGTATTGCTGTGCGGATTCGCTGCTTCCAGGCATTGCTGGTGGCTTTGCGCCAGCTGCAGCTGCGGGAGTTGGCAAGTCTCGCTGCGGCGGCCAAAGCCTTGCGTCAGGCGTGGACCCAAGCCGTCGCTACGCTTTGGCCTTTGTTTATTTGTTGTCGCCCTCGCTTGAAAACGGTACTTGAAAACGGTATTGCTTGTCTTGAGACGAGACTTGAGATGTGGGCGGCCTCAAGCTTCGCAGACAACTTGGCGCTTGACTGTCTGTTCCAGCTGTGCCAGGCTTGCCTGTGGCCCGAGCTGCTTGGCAATCAGCCATCCACAATGGAGATTGCGATTGCTTCTGTTTGATCATGATTCCCTGGGAAGGAATGTCGTGTGTGCTTGGTTGCGCTGTTTGGCCATGGGAGGCCTGCAAATCAAGAAGCCAACTGAGCTGGAGTGTTGTTGGAACTGGTGCAATCTTGTGCGTCCAGTGGTAGTTCAGAAGTTGGGCTCCAGGATTGCCCTTTCTTATTGAGCTAACTGTTGTTGATCATCTCTCACTCTGTGTCCAAGATGGGTCTGCTTTGTTGGACCCGCGGCAAGCATTGCAGGGTTATCGAGCTGGGCTACAATATAGAGCCAGAATCAAGATTCTCTTGTTGCGCTCAGGCAGGACGTGAGGCCAAACCCTATGCAGTTTGTACAACACTTCAGCCAGAAGCAGCTCATAGCTCATAGCCTTACTGCCTTGAGTCGATTTCGAAGACTGGCGCATTGGGATCGCTGGTCCCCCAGGGGCCCCAGGCTCTGGCGTGCAGCACTGCTGCAGCGCTTTCCTGAGCGGGCGGCGAAGGGCGGCTGGCGCTTGCAGCTGGCAGGGGGCTGAGGGGACAGGGTGCCTCAAACTTGGAAGGTTGAACTGACGTGACTTGATGCTGTCTGACTGTCTGGGTGTTCGAGATCCTTCGCTTCAGTGATGACTGGTGTCCTGGCCGTTTCAGAGGCTACTGCCCTCCGCGAGCAACTGGAGCAGGCTCGAAAAGACGAGAGGGTCAAAATCCCAGAAGCCCGCTTGACTGCTTGACCCCCGAGCTGAATCCAAATCCAGGAGCGGCTGAAGCACCGCCGTGTCCAGCAGCGCCTGCAGCAAATTCAGCAGCAGCGGCTCGAGAGCCCCACTGCTTGCATTGGTCCAGGGTTCGTGCGAAAGGCAAGCAACCCTATTATTAATATGCTTATTTCCGAGTTTGTTCTTGGAGTCGCTGCTGCGCATTCACAGGGGCATCAGAACGGTTCCTTAGCAAGGCAATGCCGTTTGACTGTTACAGGCAGACATACCAGTAGCTTTGCAGTGCTTTGAAGAACCAGGCTTATTGACCAGTTCCTGATTCTTGTTCAGGAACGGTTTCGGAGCTTGGCAGAAGTTTTGTTGCCAGGTGAAAAGCAGCAGCACCAGCGGAGGCGCCGAGCTCAGGCAGCCAGCCCTTTGCCCCTTGCTCTTCTTGCTGTGACTAGGTGTTGCCGAGTTGAGGGGCAGTTTCTGTTTAATTGCCAAGGTCTCATGCAAAGAGCCTTTGGGAAAGCAATGCAGAGCGATCACGCCTAAAGCAGTACCAGTTTGCTTCTTTTGTGGGCACTGCAATGTTGACCGCGCTTGTTCTGAGCAACTATTATGACGTCTGAAGAGCTTATTGGGCGCTGCTGCGTCAGCAGGATTGGGGTATTTAGCACTTTGCTTTGAGCATCAATCAATTTGTTTGGCGATTTCGCGATACGTGAGTCCAAGGCAAGAGTTGCTTCAGAAGCAGCAACTGCTCTCGCAGCGCCTCAGCGAGCTGCGGGGTATTGATGTTGGCGGGGCCCGTGGAGTTCGTGCCCAATGAAAACAACCAAGGTTTTGAATTAATGTGATGTTCAAGACCTTCAGAATCTTGCAACCGGCTTTTGTACATGTCAATCCAGCACTCCAAGCACTCAAAGCACTCCAAGCACTCCAAGCACTCCAAGCACTCCAAGCAACACGTTTTGGCTCGTCCATATGTCTGGACTTAGAGCCTTCGCCCTCCGCAGGTGCTGTGTCGTTGCAAAGGCGCGCGGCGGAGAAGCGCCGCAGTGCCGCGGAGGCGGAGTTGCTGGAGACGCAGCAGAGGCCTTTGGTCATGTTCGAGCTTGTGACATTGCACTCGAATCCGATCTGGTGTTCTTTTGTTTTCCGGCAAACCTGATCCTTCCCGTCCTCACCTTTCTTCGGCTGTGCGTGGCAACTGCATGTTACATTGCCGCTGCGTTTTAGCTTGCATGGCAAGTGCAAAGTCAGGTGACACCTGGTGTGACCCCCCCCTTTTGTACTGCCAGGCTGGCTGCGGAACTGCTGGAGCTCTGCAAGGCTTCGATTCCTTTGGCTCCCTGCTTGCCATGCCCCAAATGTTTCGATCCCAATGCACCGCTGTGACCCAATCCCCTCAATGTGCCAAACGCGGCTTCAAATGCGCTCAAGGCGAGTCTATGTTCCACTATGCTGATGTCATGTTGAGTTTGACTTTCATAGACTTCGCGCTGAAAGGCAGGCACCTTCACAGCTTTTGTTGTGGCACCTGCTTCCTAATGAGCTCCCCTTGCAGGCTGGCCATTGCCGTGCCGCGGATCTCGACGCAGATCTGGCCGAGACGGCCACCCGGTATTCAATCGCAGCATGAAACACAATGACCAGCTGGCATGAACTTGAACAAGGCGCAGATGATTTTTGAAGCCGCTTAAACCGCACTCGGCAAATCGACTTGCTTCTCTTCCACCAAGCCTGAGCCGAAGGCGTGAATGGTCACGATGAGTCGCGGGAAAGCACGCTGCACCCTGTTTGAGCCAAAATTGAAACCATGCGGCTGGACGCGAGCGAACATGTGACAGAGGGCTGCTCCACAGGTTTGCTTGTGCCCTAGGCTCAGAGACTGGCACACTTGGCTGCGCGTCTGGCGCGGCTGCCAAGGCAAGGTGGAAGCGGCAGCTTTGGTCAACGTGATATGCCGAATGCACGTGAGGGCGTAGACAACTTTGAACATCCTAAAGGCAACACCCAGCATAGTCACAAGGCATTTTTTTTATCCAAGCCACATCAGAGGGTGCCAGGCAGTTGTTTGCAGCCTTTTGCAAGTTGGCACAGGTTCTCTTCACTTCCATTTTCACATTTCTTTTCCCAGATCTTCGAGCGTGAGCTGCTCGCACGTGTTCGCCATTTTGACAGGACCCCGGAGCAGCGCGGGCGCGCTGCTGCTGCAGCCGCTCGGGCGGGCGAGCGGGCCATGCGAGCGCTACCGGGGTCAGGTGGAGCGGTGGAGCTGGCACTTTCTGTCGAATTGCGTAGGGGCAAGCTGCTTGTTTTCAGTCTTTGCATAGCAAACTCTTTTCATGATTTTCTTTTTCCCGCAAGCGCGAAGGGTCCTTGCACTGCATTCTCTCGCAAGGGGACTCGCATAGAGAGCTTGCATAGAGGGCTTACTTACCCGGAGAACGTGCTGCGAGGAACTTGTTCGGAGATGTGCAGAAGCCTTGCCGAAAGAAGCTTGCTCACAGGACTTGCATAGAGAACTTGCGCAGAGACGCGGGCTCAGAGAGTCTTGCTCAAAGAACTCGCTCCACTCGCACGCGCAGAAGCTTGCTCATAGACCTTGCGCAGACAACTTGTGCAGGGGCACTCACTTGGAGAATCTGCTTGGAAGCAGCTTAGTCATTTATGCTTTCGGGCCATCTGTTTTCTTTCTTCTTATTTCTGTTTCCAGTCACACTATGTTAGCTATTGCGCAAGACATTTCGCTGAGTCATCTTTGACTTTTGCTTGGTATAGGCTATCATGAGTCGCAATTTGGCACCGCCACCTGAGCTTTCAAATGCTAGACTTCGACGCGCTGTCAGCAATGAAGACTGAACACTGACTCCTGGGGCCACGCTTGCTTGCTTCTCTGCGTCCGACGTCTGCCGGAGGTGACAGCGCTGAGTGCGTCGCGCGGAACGCGAAGCGCAAAAAGGGGCGCACCCACCAGTTATTTGCTGGAATTGTGATGGCCAGTGAAACATGTTTGCTGGGGCGCCTGCCAGTCCCCTGGCATGGAGACGGGCAGCGTCATCATTGAGGTGAGGGAGAGAAAGTTCGGCGCCAAGCAGCTTCTGAATGCTTCTGCATTCGTGAAGAATTGATCTTCTGTAGATTGGACTGGTCATCTAAAAACAACTGTGGCCGGGTTGATTCTGAAAGCACATCAAGGGGTACTCGTTTGTCTGATTTTGCGGACAGCTGGATTGAAATGCGAGTTGCTGACACACGAGCACCGCAGCAGACAACATGGCCATCGCTTTCCAGGCATGCTCTCTTCACGCGGCTGAATGATGAGGACGTTTCTGCTGGCTTGCAGCGACAAATCCCAGACAAATAGCCGGTTGCAAGTCTTTGTTTGTTAATCAGCGCTTTCGTTGCAGGACCTCTTCCTTGAGCAGCGTGTCTCGTTGGGGCCTGCAGACTGTCAGTGGACACTTTTTCGACTCGTGGGTTTCAAAGACAATTTGACCGAACCACAACATGTACAAGCGGTATGAACATACGCAATAAAGAATATGTGTATCCTGTATTTGCATACTCACATCCAGCAAGCGGCCTTTGATTCTCATTAATCCTAAGGATTCGGCGGTTTCTTGCAAGCAAGAAAGCTCCTGCAAAGCTTCGGGTCACTGAGGTTGCTGGATGCGCTTTGTGGCGCTCGCTTTCGTGTCAAGCCGGGAGCACATGCGGGGCGGGCGGAGCTCCTTTGCCACTGGGTTTCCTCCCCGTTCTGAGGGCCACCAGGATGCACTTCTCGTTTGAAGGCAGCATGTTGTGCAGACCGTATTCCCATTTCATGAAACGGGACTTGGTGTACTTGCCAAGTGGTTGGCAATAGCTGCAAGGCAACAGGCAGTGCACATCCTAGATTGGTTGGATAAGACCTGTGTTTTATTGCATGTGCATTTTATCAGCCGGTTGCCGTGACTGGTGTAGAGAAGATCTAAGCTGCCAGTAGGCGCTCGATCAATTCATGATTTGTCAGGCTCTAGCAGAAAGTGCATAGTAATAGTAGACACAGGCACAAACACGAGCCGCAGGTGCTGCGCTGTGCATGACAGGATCGCCAAGGGTGTCAAAGACGAGCAAGTTTTAGGCCAATGATTTTTCCCAGGAACAGCCAGAGAGCGGCACGAGCATTTTCAGAATTCGCAGAGACATTCCACCAGTCATTTGGAGCATTGCGCTCCATGGTTTTTCTGCGGGGCGTTTGGCGCTCCGCGTGCGACATGGTATGATGGCATGGGAGCCGTGGCGTCCAGCCTCGGCTGCGCGTGCAACAAGGGGGAGCTCTGCAGGATCATAGAGGCAGGACGTCCGCGTTTGCCACATTTCTTTGATTCTGTTTGAGTGTTTTCGGAGAGCCGCTGCGCAATCCATGGACAAGGGGCTCGTCTCACTGCCTCGTCTCGTTCCTCTGCGAGAAACGTCGGCAAGATGGGTGCTTTGCCAGGCTGGCACAGTGGAAGATGGGCTGCCTGGGGTGCAGCCGGTCCAAGATGAGGTACGGGGCGTATCTCTTGCAAGAGCATTGCGTAGACACATTGCGATATGAGACTGGTTTGCTCAGTTCGTGGGCACTGCAGGCACCTTGCAGGTTCCCTTTCTTGCGGAGGTTTGGCTCAAGATGAGTTTTGCGGAGGCTCGCACAGCGATGCCTCCAAAGAAGAAGTTGAAGGGCGAGGATGGTGAAGCTGTGGAGCAGGACACTGAGATCGGATCAGCCCAGCTTGCAGCTACTCCGAAAAGTTCAGGCCAGGCTTGTGCAACCGGCAACCTGGAGTCATTTGTGAGACCAAGCCGCTAAGATCTTTGTTTCTTTTGGAACGGACATTTGATAATGTTTGAGAATGGGGTTTGAAGGGTGGCAATGGGGTGCCTTCATGTGCCTTCTTGTCTTCCAGCGGCATCCAACCTGTGCTTCAGGCTTGGCACCAGTCTCGCAGCCTGACGGGGAGGCAGAGGAAGACTCCAGAGAAGACACGAGGCGGCAGCTCAGCCTGCCGGTGTGCTTCCAGGCGCCCGACACGACTTTGAATGTCATGGTGGGCGCGCGGAACATCCTGATGATGCTGAACGAGGGCGGACTGCACTATCTCTTCGCCGGGGCCCGGGCCAATGTAGGCCTTCGCAGTGGCCGGTACATGTTTGAGGTCAAGATCCTGGAGCTGCTAAATCAGACGGAGGCCATGCAGCTGCGCACCCCGGTGCCCAAGCATGTCCTCCGAATAGGCTTCTCCACGGCGGCCTCCACACCCATCATGGGCGACAATGAGGAGAGCATTTGCTTCGACTCAGACGGCGGCCTTTGGTTTAATAAGACGCGAGTGCCTTTGGTGGCCAAGTACGGGCCAGAGTGCACTCTGGCAGTGGTTCTGAATCTGGACCGCAACAGCTCCAATGCCAACACGCTGTCACTCTTCAAAGATGGCCAGCGCTTGGCAGATCCTCAACAACTGCCAGAGACCCTTTGTGGCAAGGCGCTGTACCCAACGCTCACCTACAAAAACATGAATGTGCATGTTAATTTCGGGCCTGCTCCGTACGTGCCCTTGCCATTCAAGTGCACAATGGTTCAGCAAGCGGCACTGGAAGACATAGAGATTGCCACACAGCCGCCCAGCAATGGCAAGTACGAGGTTATCTTCCCCGTTTGCCTGCCCGATGAAGGCACTTTTGATTGGGCTGACTGGTTTTTGCGGTGCAATCCACATTACACAGAGCTCAGTGAGCGAATGGTTGTTGACTGGGCCGTGAGAAGCGGAATCTATCGGCCAAAGGCTGCCACGAAGGCTTCCAACGAATCTTGACTCGATTGAAATCATTTTACCTGTTGCTTGCGTTGCTTGCAATATTGTTTTCTTTTTTATCGAGCCCAGGACAGGCCCGAGATGAATTTTGGCTTGCCTCACCTGGATGACGGCAGCGTGAAGCAGATCCTGCAGGCTGCGGCTGCGTCTCAGCAGCGAGATATCCTGTTCCTCGAGGTGAGGAACAATCTCCTGCGGGAGGAGCGGGTGCAGGCGCTGGCGCGGTTTCGGCTGCCGCACTTCCGACGGGTTGCCAAGGTGCTTGTTGGACAACCCAGCGCAGAATACCTGACACACGTCCACGAGGAGTTGAGGAGCGAGAAGCAACAGAGGGCTGAGGCCGAGCTTCAGCAGAAGCAGCAGCATAAGGCGCAGCTGAAGCTCTTGGAAATGCAGAGAAAGCAGGCCGAATGGGCAAGACGGAAGCAAGAGCAGGAGGCCGCAGGCGAGGAAGTCCAGCCAATGGAAGAGGAGGCAGAAGATGATGATGTGCAGCTGCCAAGCGTTGAGCTTACAGAAGCAGAGAAGAAGCAATTCTTCAAGAAGCCCAAGCCAGATGCCCTGCCCGATGTTGTTCCCATGGCCCTCAATGCCAGCTTTCCAAGTTTCAGTATTCCAGAAATAGAGGAGGGCTTTGACGAAGTTGAGTTCTCCTGGCAGCCAAAGGAGACAGTAGAGAGCCATATGCGCCAGTGGATTCAGGAGCACAAGGTCACCACGCGCATTGATGACTTGCAGCCCAGTGAGTGGTTCAAAGAGAAGTGGCAGAAGTGGCAGAAGGATCTCCAAAGCTGGCATGTCAAGCACATCGAGTTCAAAGACCCAGCGAAGCGTGCAGCTTTGTTGGCTGCACGGGCAAAGGAAAAAGAAGACACGGAAAAGGTGTTGACACAGGATGCAAGCGGAAAGACAGCTCCTGGACAGGAGTTGGAGAAGAAGCAGGAGCAAACAGAGCCTGCCAAGGGGACCAACGCAGAGGACACTGCGGTGGCTGCCAAGGCACAGGAGCCAAGTGTGCTGACACAGGAGGAGCAGAAGCCCTCTTTGCATGAAAAGCCAACCGAGGAGTCGAAGCAGAAGGATGAACCTATGGTTGACGCAAAGGATGATTCGGACAAGAGGATCGAGCCGGAAGAGTCGATTGACTACATGAAGGAGCTCGAAGCAGAGATTGAGCAAGACGACGTCTTTGAGGTTGAAGATATCACGGACATTGGCACAGGGGAGCCTTTGTTTTGCAACTTTGGCTTCGAGGACTGGGCCCTGCTAAGCCTCCGCTTTGAGCTGCACCTCTTGACGCACTCCTTCCTCCATGACTGCGGGGATCCGGAGAGATCGGGGATCTACCCAGATCACCTGCTGTTCTACTACAACAGGTATTATAAAAAGGGCCTGAACCCCAAAAACTACGGCGTGGAGTGCGCGGATGAGCTGGCCGACTTGATCCCGGACACCATCGTTTGCCCCAAGCTGACTCTGGAGTCCACGCTGGCATCGGAGCTGGAGAGCAACGACATCTTCGTGAAGCTCACCGAGGAGGCACGGAGGGACCGCCTGCGGCGCCTGGATGCCGGGGACGAGACGGCCCGCCTGAAGTTTGCCACGGGCAAGGCCGCCAAGCCGGTGGCGAAGGCGCCCATCAAGGCAGAACCCCTGCGGCCCGTGCGGATGCCGATGCCCGTGGGTGCGCAACGGCCGTGGATGCAGCCGGGAATGCAAGGCATGCAAGGCATGCAAGGCATGCAGCCAGGGATGCAGTCCGGGATGCAGTCAGGGATGCAGTCGGGGATGCAGTCGGGGATGCAGTCGGGGATGCAGTCGGGGATGCAGTCGGGGATGCAAGGGATGTATGGAGTTCCTTTGGCACAGAGGGCCATGATGGCTCGGCAGGGCTTCGGCCAAAGTTGGGGCTGAAAACGGCCGGGCAGCTCGTCATTGGCCGCGAAGCGGTTCCGATGCCACCTCGAAGCACCCGTTTGTTTTTGGCTGTATATACTATGCTTTCGCGTTCACGCGCGCCAGATGCCAGAGCCATGGCAAGAGGCCAAGGAGCCTTTGGGCCAAAGGAGTCAGACCAGGAAGGCGAGTTAGAAAGGGCGTTACCAGCATCTGGGTACGTAAGTAGTGCCGGTGCTACTTGTAGCGGCTCACAGTTGTCATTCACGCAAAACAGCCTCAGAATAAAGACAGAACGCCATCTACAGGTTCATATTTTTTCAAGAAAAACACATACATTGATACATCTAAGGCTGAATACGTGAAGCTGAGCACCTTTATGTAGCCAGTTGTTCACAAGCAAGCCACAATTGCTGGCGATTCATATAACGCTTGGCATGCATGCGTCGCTTGTAAGGCTACGCTGCCTCGCAGGCTGGCGAGATAGCAGTGGTAGTGTGGCAGCCCACGTCAATCGCATGAATCGCAACATGACAAGTGACAACTTGCTGTACAGCTCAGAGACGTGTCGTATGAGTTGTTTTCCCGGCCCTTGTTAAACATCCCGCTGATTTCAGGATACAAGTCCGATCCACCACGAAAGAGTACAGCCTCGATCCGCGGATGCACCGAAGGGTGGGCTGCACGACATGTTTGTGGGAGTTTCTAGCAACGACTCGGGGGGGGGCGGCATTTGGTCACCTTGGTCGTGTTGATGGAACGCTGAGGATGAGGCGACGCAGCAGATTGTCAGATCCGAGGAAGGTCCTGAAGTGGCAGGCGAGGCCACGGGATTTAGGTCCCGAATCAGATTGTTGCGGCGGCTGAGCTGATCTGCGGATGTGATACACTCTTGACCCATCACCATCAAGTGGAGATTTCGTGATCGATTTTGGCACAAACGGGCGCTCGAGGGAACTTTCTTCCCCAGCGTCTCGTTGAAATGTTGACATGACATTCCGCACATGAGTTCGTGCATTCTGTTTTCATGGGTGCCGAGGTTTGGCTCTGAATTGGCTGAATTGGCTGCTGGAGCAGCACTGGCCAAACTTGAAAGCGTCCATCGAGAAGGTCATCAAGAAGGAGGGACCTGCGAGCGCGAGCTGGCTAAGCCGACTGTGCAACAAAGATGCAACACAGATTTTGGCTACTCTCTTCCCAGGCAACAAATGCTGTGAGAGTACTTAAGAAGAGTTTTTTTTTTTTTTTTTTTTTTTTTTAAACAAAGCATGAACATCGGCGCATCGGGCGATTGTCGGGCCTGCTTTCAGACGGGGTTGGATGGTCTGGCTTTGAGTACCGTCTTGGGGAGTCAGCGCAGGGCTGGCGTGTGAGCCTTTCAGTCGCGCCGGGAGGATTTGGAGCCGATCATCCAAGAGGCGCTGCCGAAGCCGCTGAACAAGCTGAAGTTCAAGGCAATGGGAAAGGGATTGGCACGTCGGGAGGGGCATCAGAGTCGGAGGCAGTGTCAAATTCACGAGCCCACTTTGTCAAAGTTCCATTTCCAGAATTGCCACTGGGGTGACCCATGATGTGGGATACATGTTGCGGGACAGGGAGAAATCACTGAGGCATCCAGGGTGACCCTTTGTCTCCGCGTGCTCTGGTAGCCTTGCGGTTGCTGTCAATTGCATTGGAGCCAGAACTACTTGGGCTCATAAGTCTACCCTTTGAAGGTGCCGCTCCAAAGCTCAGAACTGAGCGAGTTGCGGTCGGCTGAGGACATTGACCTTGGCGAGAAGCAGCCCACCTTCGATTTGTTGAAGCCAGTCTTTGAGGTGCAGTGCCCTGCTCGGCATGCTAGAGCCATGTTTTCTTGAATAAGAGGGAAGAAACGCTTCGCAGTGCCAGAGTTGACTGCAAGATCTCCGCCGGACACTGGACACTGCCCAGCGGCGGTTGAGGAACGGCTTTGAGGGCTTGAGCTTGGAGATCGATATCAAGTGGAACTGCGCGGGGAAGATTGACATGGTCTTTGGCACAGTGGAATTCAGCATCGTGGCTGGGCCGCATCACGATCAGGGCACTGGCTTGATTGTTGCAAAGCTTTTTTTTGTGTCTCTTGGAAAGAAGCTTGGTTGCTTTTGCCGTTCACCGGCTCAGGGTTTGGGAGCATTGGCCCTCCATTTGAAAGGGGCCTTGGAGGTTGCCAGGTTGAGCAGGTTGAGCGGCTCTGCCGGTTCAGGAGCAAATCACGCTGGAAGGTGCCATGCACCTCAAGTTGCGTCCGCTGCTGGAGAAGCTGCGTGGCTTTCCACGGCTTTCGGTCGCTGGCTTGTTGGTCGAATTGAGATCTTTGGTTGATCTTTGGTCGTTCCTGTTGATCTTTGCCGAACTGGAACGCTCAACTTTGGAGCGCTCAGCCTCTCAGAACCTTTTTAGAGGTCTTGCAGTCTTGCATCTCGGGTCTTGCGTGTAAAACTGGCTCAGGCTGCCGATTGTCGGAGGGATGCAGATCACGATGCTGTCACCCCCCAAGGTGCAGTGGATATTTACAGGACGAGCACGTGTCGCATCCCACATGCCAGCAAGTCAGCCATTTTGTTTTTCTGGATGTTGCTGGGCGCAAAATGGCACTATCTGCGCAGGAGGAAGGCTTGCGCTGGGGCTGCAGTCAGAACTAGTAACGCGCACGCTGCGCAAGGCCAGGCCATTGGATAGCGTTGGATAGCGTTGGGTTTTCGTTCAGTGTTTGATAGGGTTTCTGTATGTTTCTGTTGCGTTGGCCAGAGAGCCACCATATGGCGCTGACAGCCTTGCCTGTTTTGCCAGGTGGTTGCAGACATCCTCAGCGACATGCTGGTCGCGCCTGGCCACGTAATTCAGATGGCAAACTCCTTTCTCCTAGTTGACCCTGTGGTAAAGCCTGATGGGGAAGTCCTCAGTTGACATCTTGGCCCGTTGGCAAGAGGGGCCTTTCTGGCTGTGAGTTCTTGAGGTGCCCAACCAGATCTTTGTGCACTGGTTGGAGGGGAGGGTCTTACAGAACGACATTGACCTCGATACCTTGGCGTTTCCGGAGCCCGAGTTCGTCATGCGCTTGCCCCGCGCCGAGGATTCGGACAGAGCATGCATGCCTACTATGATGCCGCATGCTCTGCCGGATCAAGCAACGCGTCGTATTTTGGGGATGAAACACAGATGATTCAGAATGTCGCCCCGATCTTTGGTTCGTTGGTCTGGTCCCTTGGTCCCTTAGTGCTCTCATCCTCCACTCGCATGGTCTGCGAAACTCACCTCAAACCACCGACCTAGAACATCATTTGTTTTAGATCTGGCCCTTGCCATTTGTCCCTATTTTTTCAGGCTCGAACCGGCCGCAGGTACCGGGGTAGCTTGAGCCTTTTGTGACGCTGACTGAGGTGTGTGAAGTCGGTGACGGGAACCTTGGACACGCAGAGCAAATGGTCTTGCTGTGCCTCATCCCAGATGCAGCTCGGCTAAGTTGCGGGCAAGTGGCTTGGAATGTTTGTCGTCAAGCAACCACTGCGGAGTAGCTCGGAGTCCGCAACGTCGTTGTTTTCGGGCAACCGAATCAGATACGCAGACAAGGTACCTTAAGTTGTGAGGCCTTCCTTCCACAGATCAAAATCTCTCTGAATTGCCTGACATGTTTCAGCCCTTGCTGAATACGCGCAGTTGTAGATTTGAGTGGTCTGTTGACCAGAAGGCACAGGCTTTCCAGCTCGTTTTGACATCAGCTTAGGCTGAACCAAGCATGGCTTCCGCTTTGCAAGTTTCAGGTCAGATGCATACGTGATGCTACAGCTGGGCTGCTTCACCTACCAGACGCCGGCAATTAGGCCTGTCATGGACGAACTCCTCTCGCAAGTTTCTTTCTTTGCGATGACTCGATGACTCCTAATTCGAAGTCAGCCCAGTCTGCAAGACATTGCGTCACTCCGGCTACGCAGGCATTCGTGGCAAGACAGCTTCGATTTCCTCATCTTCACCACAAATCAGTATGCTGCATGGCAAGAGAAGCAGTATCGGCTCCTTGCGCGAAGAATTTGCTGCAAAGGTCCTTCAAAGAGCATGCTAACAAACTCCGTGTGTGAGTTGTCATTGCTCATTGGTTGCTCATTGGTTGCTCTGCACGATCCTGCAAGCCAACAAGGCCTTTTCAACCCGGGCTTATGATTTTGGGTTGCAAACTGCCCTTCATGTCGTCGTCCAGTTGGCACGGCCCGGGAGCAGACTAGTACTAGTGACATGAGGGGCCAAGACGAATCGTATGTGCATCTAGTTTTGAATTTCTTGTGCACCTTCAAGGCGCAAAAATGGACACCACAATGATCAAGAATGGTGGTCACTGCCTTGTGCAAACAACCACATTTCTTTGCCCGGGGTGATCAAGTCTAAGTGATCCGGTATTTGAATTTGAGGTTCGTTTGGGGTTCCAAGTGCGAGAGTGATCCTGGGCCACGTTCGACGCCACCGTGCCGCCATGATAGGCTCAGTTTATGCCGTGGCAGGTTTGTTTCATGCATACCGCTGCATACCCTTCAACAAAAAGTTAACTGCCACATGATTTACCAACAAGTACAGCACCATCAGCGCAGTCAGGCCGTGCATCAGCATGCACAGCGGTTTGTGTAAGTTGAAAGACTGACCTGTATGTGCAAGCAGCAAAACCAGTGAAGCTCGATCCTTCATTTTGCGTCCATCCCAAAAATCCCCTCGTGACAAGCTGTAGCTCCACAAAAGACAGCTTGTACTGACCGCACATGTCTCACATTACAGTGTGCATTCTTCCCTGCATTTGCACTTTCAGGTGCAGATGTGATTTTTTTCAGCTGCGTGAGTGATGCTTTAAGTGTAGATGCTGGAGTGATCTCCATATTTGGAGTCAGGTGAACGTCAACGTCTTTGCCCAGGACATCACCTACCGGGATGCCACTTTGTGGCAAGCGCTGCCTGTGGCTTTCAGGTCTGGTGAGAGGCGCGAGTCATTAAAACTTTCTGCCCACTTCCAAACTTGCCTTTCGAAAGCCCATTCAACGGAGCAGCACCAAGCTAACATCACGTTCTTGCAGTATTGCCTCGCAGTCCGAGCTGTTTGACGGTGAGCAGCGAATGTTTCTCAGTCGAATGGGAGTGTGGAGCTAACATTCTTCGCTATCTCTGGGCAAATTCTCATACATCATGAGCCGCATTCCGAGTCGAGGTTCGCCTGGGCTCGGTGGAGGGCCTCACAGTTGAGCACATCTTGCAACGACCCGATGGGACCTGGCGCCTGACCAGGAGTGAATTGGAATTGGCTAGTACAGGAGGGCAAGACTGGTTAATTCTCGCCCAGTATATGATTTACAAACTAAGAAAGAGTGCCACGCCTGAAATTGCTACTGTGGAACGATTGTCAATGTTGCAAAGCGTTGGGCTTGCATGTTCTTGCCGCTTGCCTGCCCTCAGCCCTTCCTGCTTAGGGACGTGCTGTAAGTGGGAAACCTACAACTTGGACTGGCTTGTGGTCTGACCAATTGATTAGAACGCCCCAAGTCGTTCTGTGCGTTTGGGCATCCAGCTTGAAGCATATGCCAAGTGACATTCTTTGAAGCAGAGTAAATCGTCTCTTACGCTCGCATCATATCTTCTGTGCAAAACTTGCCTGATCCACTATTCAACACATGAATGGAGTTCTCTTTTGCACATGTTGCGCCAATCTTGCAGAACGTATTTGGATGGTCGTGGTTATCGCTTGACTTTGTCCGCAGTGGTTGCACTGAATGAGGACCAACGATGCGGACGTTGCGGACGGAGAGGAGTTCGAGGTGCATTTGAGCCTGGGACGCGTTGGTCAACCGCAAACTCTGCGCCCTGCCCGACTGCCCGGACTGCGCTCCACCTGAGGACCGCTCAGTTTTTCTTCCTCAGACCGTGGCTTGGCAGCTCAGACAGTGCGGAAAGCGGCTTACGTGGATCGATGGAGTTTCACAATGTTTCAATCAGTCATCCCGGCCATCCCGGCCATCTCAGGAGCTTTGCCTCTGTGGCTTCTGGCAAAGGTCCTGCGAACCACCAGGCTTTCCTTTTTGTGCACCTGAGGAGTGCGGGCTTTGCTTTCGGGTCTCCCCATGCTATTTTCAATTTCTTGACTCCACTGACGAACCATTGGGATTGACATTCGGGAATTGCCCGGAGCCTGGATCTAGTTTGACCAGCCATCGATGACTCCAGGAGTTGCCGGGGTATGTTGAACGACTACTGCTCCGGGGCCAGGCGGAGCTTTGAGACTTCGAAGCGTTTCGCGGGGCCTTTCCCGAAGCGTATCGTGACCCGCCAGGATCCGCTTCTGCTCTGAAGGCGAAACGGTGCTGAGCAAAGGCTCCTCGTATCACCCGATGCTGGATGACACCGCGATAGCCACGCCCACACAGAAGATGGAGCCTTGACTGATAGCTTTGGCATGGCCGGCGTGGGCTTCGGATTGAGAATATCGTGACCCCGGAGAAGCACATTTTACGCCACTGATGGCGCTTCGCATCGCACCAGATAGTGACGCAAATAGGCGTTTTGAAGTTTGACATGTTTCATGATGCACGCACGATGCGTTCTATTTTTGCCGCTGCATGCGGTCGCCGCTGCTTCTCGCTCCGCCACTCCGATTCCTTACATCCCAGCAAAGACGTCACCCAGGGCAGAAACAAGCACAAATAGACATATTATGCGCACAGCCCACCCACGCCAACCCCTCCAACATCCCGACCCCCATACCCACACCCACACACGCATGCCCACCAGTACCCACATGAGCAAGCGTACGCGCACGCACGCACACGCCATGGACAAGCGCACATGGACGCACATGGACGCGCACGGAAGCACACGCCCACGTACATGCACGGCATACACCCAGGACCACGCGCATGCGCACCCCCATGCCCACGCGCATGCCTACGCCCAGGCGCACGCCCATGCCCGCACCCGTACTCACACACACACACACACGCACACATTCAGATTCTCAAGGGGGTGATTCAATCCAGAACGGAGTTTAGATGATGTTGAGCGTGCATGGTAGATTACGCAAGTCGAAATTAATCTTGAGTCGGCACATGGTTTCAGGGAAGAAACTCACCTACGATGGGACGGGACCTGCGTTGAGGAGGCAGATGCCAAGGTCCGCCCGTAGCTTCACGTGTGGTTTGCGCAATCAGAAGAAGCAACAGCGACAAACATCACAGTGGTCGATGAGACTTGCAGAAGCAGCAACAGCAAACATCGCAACCATTCAAAAGAAGGCGGGTTTTCGCCCCAAGGTGTCTGGTCTTCGTTGGCCAGGACACACATCGGTGGGTTTGTGAAAAGGTTTGGCCAAGTTGGGTCTCCCGCGGTTGAATCCCTCAAGCAAGAAACTAGAAACACAGGGGGGGGGGGAATTTTTAGGGGCTCCGAGAGCAACAACCCAAAGCAGCGCAAACGGCCCTAAACCTTGTGGACGAAGAACACCGCGAAGATGCCTGGTGGAAGATGAGGAAGTTATCCCGCCGAGAGGGCCAAGAGAAGGAAGACAGACAGCAGAGCAGAGAGGAAGACCACAAGCGCAAGCGCAAACAACAAAAACGATGAGTAGTTGTGAGGATTCCTTTAGACAACTGAGGTGCAAGATGCAACGAGCTTGAGTCCACCAACTGCAACACGCGAAAATCTGAAAGAGCTGTAAACAGCAATGTCCCCCCCAGGGTCACGCAATGGGTCCACCCCAGGTTCCCCCAAAAAGGGTAGACGCACTTAAGACTCCGAAAGGTGGGCGGTGCAACCCAAAACCGAGCTTGGATCATGTTGGTGTGCATGAATGATTACCGAAATCAAATAGATCTCGGATAGGCACTTGTGGCTTCAGGTGTCTGGCCAGGGCAGACATACGTGGATTCCTGGCCCCTGCCATGAAAAATGTTCGGGGTTTGGCGTATGCGCGCGCGCCCGCTTGCCTGCGTGGCGCTTGTTCGCCCTGCGCGCGCGCGCGCGTTTGTGCAAGAGCACGCGCACGCGCTCGCGGACGCACTCATGCGCACGCAAACGCACGCGCGCAAATGCGTGCCCACGCTCCTGCCCGCGCTGATTCACACGCGAAGCCATGCGCACGACGGCGTGCGCATGCGGGTGCGTGCGCACGCACGCGCACACACGCACGCACGCACGCACGCACGCTTGCACGCACGCACGCGTCCACACACACACACACACCCACACCCACGCCCACCCCCACCCCCCCGCCCCACATGCACGCACACGCACAGACACAGAGAGAGACACAGACACAGAGACACACAGACACACAGACACACAGACACACTAGACACACAGACACACAGACACGCAGACACACAGACACACAGACACACAGACACACAGTAACTGGGGGCGTGTTCCGGTTGTTCGGTTTAGACGATGCGCCGCATGGATTTTCCTGAAGTTGCTGAGATTTGAAGTGACTCGGTGCGTTCAAACTGTGCTCAGGTGGAGCACCTTTGGGAAACTTCCGTCCACGAGTTAGGGGAGAAGCAAACCATGAAGTCTATCGTGGAGATTACAGGTCTCTCACCCGCGCCTTGGCGGGCAGAAGTCAAAGTCTCGAGTCGCCGCTCGAAGTTTTCGCCACATGCTAAGAGTGTCAAAACATATGAGCCAAATTGGCATGGGGCCGTTTTGGCTCAAGTGGTTGTGAGTTACATGCTTCAAAAACCATTTGAGGTATTGAATTTTGTGTTTCATTTTCTGTGGATTTTTTGCAAACAGCTGATTGCCTGCCAAACGCTTCATTGAAAGCTGGCCCAAATCAGAGCTGGGCCAGTTTGTTTGAGCAGATATTGCAACTTTGATGCACATGTCCGAGCAGTGGTCAGAGCTGGACTTCATTATCGTTGGCTCAGGAAGAGGTCTCAGCAATCGTCTTTGCACGGCCGACCTTCACAATGCGCTGGGGCCAGTTCGTGACCGTAGGCCTGGGTCGATAAGACGATCGCTGGACACTGTAAGTAAGTGACAGGTTCAGGCATCCACATGGAAAGCCTTCAAGCCTCAAGGAAGCTCCTTGTACGGGTCTTGAATTGAATGGCAAATGGAGTATGTCGTGGCCAGGCAACTGAACGCTCTTAATGCTGGCAACTAAAGGTTTCCATCCCCTCCCAGGTGGTTGGCATGCTGAACTCCCTCGGAAGCAACAATAGAAGCGAGTTGTGTTTCATGGCTGGGCTGATGTCAGCCACATGCCCGAAGGCCCCGATTGGCGAGTTCTCAGCAAATCTTCATGGCACCCAGAGATCTCCACTTGTCTTGGCACACATCTCCCGTAGTTCCGGGGAAAACAGCTCCGGGTGTGCCCTGCCCAGGCATCAAGGATGTGACTTTGCAGCACAAAGCGCCAGCGACGGAGATGCCCTTGGTGTTGACCAGACAGGAAAACCAATGCAGAAAGACAACATGTGAAAGTATGGATGTTGGTCTGGCCCGGGAAGGAATTGTGAAGGACTTCAGTCTACTTTCCGGACACCTCTTTTCTGAACGGACCGCAAGAATGGAGCCTTGCTAACTTGTCCTGGTTGACATACTGTGTTGCAACAAATGCAGCAGTAGCAGTCGCAGGTCGGCGGCCGTTTCGATTTGTTCCAGGATTTTGCTGAAGCCACTGGAGCATCTTAAAGAGAGGTTAGAGGACATCTTCCTGGTGTCGGCCTTCCTGAACAGTGGGAGCCAAGAGTTGCAAGACACCGTCAAAAGTTTGACGAATCCGACACTTAGGTGGAGCACTTCTCCGTTCAGATCAGCCTGGAGCTAGAGGGCTTCCGAGGCCTGGGGTTTCAGGGTGCGTTGAGGTTGAACGGTTCATCCGCGGACGGCAAAAAGGGAACGCACCCCGCCAGTGCAAAGGACCTTTCCAACTCGTGGTGTGCAAAAAAGAGGGTTCGAGAGCTGCTTTCATGCCATGCTTCGACACATGATTCAGCTCTGCTGGGAAGAATAAACCAAACATGGCCATTGCTTGATACAGTATGAGCCAACGTGCGTGCACTGGATGTTGCATGCTGATTTGGACGGTCTAGTATCTCTATGTGCGTTCAACGCGGCTTCTTCAGCTGTCGTTCTCGGAGGTCCTTTGTGGCATGTCTGTCATGGTGCCTCAAGCAAATCTCTGATCCAGCGAGAATGGGGTGGTGAAGGAAGATGAAGGAAGAGGAAATCAATTGCAACCGCTGGAAAGACCTGGCCAGCGGATGGACAGGGAAAGATAAGAGAGAACAGAGATGATGAAAGAGGCATCACGTGTCATTCCTTTCATCCCTCACACACACACACATTCTCACCAACCAATTTCCAAGAGATAAGTTAAGTCTGACCCTGTATGGCGAAAAATCCAAATAATAGGAAATCAATTTGGAAGTGAATGTCATCTCTTTACATCTCTCCCTTTCGCGCCTCTGTCCGGCTCTCATGGAATCTCACGGGCGAAGCGAGCCGGAGAGAGAGGATAGAGAAGCGAGTGGGAGGACAAAGGATGGACATGACAGTTACTTTTGGTCATCCATCTCCTCGACATGCCAGGTTCCGGCGGAGGCTCCTTTTAGATAGCATTGGCAAGTTGAGGATGACATGCGACATGCAGAAAGAACAAGGTTGAAAGAACAAGGTTGATTTTTTTTTTAGGACCACAAGATCCCAGTGGTGCAGGTGCTTGAGCTGTTGCTAGGATTCCAGAGCTGATGTGAGTGCAGCTAGTCATGTTGGAACGACAGCTTTGACGTTTGCAATTGAACGTCGTGGCAGTTGAGCGGCCAGTTGGAAAGACGCGGTGAAGCTAGCAAGAATGCGGCCTATGACGATCCACACAGAAAGACAGTTGGGGCATGACATCTTGGGACTTTATTAACAATCAGCTGACATGGATCAACTATAGACTATACAGTGCAGAAACTGGACATGGGCCTTGGAAGGTCTCAAGGGAAAAAGTGACCCGGCTGTTGGCATCATGGAGATTGGACTGTTTGCGAACTGGGCATCCCTTTTCCTCCCTCAAGTCTTCAAGTCTTTGATTTGCAGTCATCCTGATGCGCAACGCCTGGTTCTTTCTCGTTCCCACCGTTCCCACCTCTTGGCGTATTCCCTTCTGCTCCAGGGCGCGCCTATGCGGACCTGGAGACACTTGGCCGGAGGTTTGACTGATCTGCACAGACTGGGGCGTTCTCAAAGAGGTCCGTGAGATCCTTTTGCGCGTTGCTCACCCTTGTCGAACAGCATGCTTGTTTGAGGTGAAGCCACACACACACAGAGTTTCCTGAAGCTAATATGAGCAAGAGGCTAAACTCTCTGGTGCAGAGATATGTCTTCGGTGATTTAGTGAAACCCCAAGAGACATGTGTGTCAGAAACCTTCAGGAACGATATAGTGAAAACCCAAGAATGGTGACCTTTTATTCGAAATCGCGCAACGTAGTCTTGGGTTTTGCCGCTCGCTCATTTTTTTTGCTTCTGAAGGCTCTACTTGCCAGAGGTTGATCTGGATTTATTGCAAGTCTCATTTTTGCCGCACCGTCCACTGTTTAGCAAAACGATCAGCGTAGGACAAACTGTTCATTGCTCATATAAGGACACCAGGATGTTTGCATGCTTGTCAGCGGTCTGACTTTGCACTTAAAGAGGCAATGTACACCGTAGGGGCATGGTGAGGACGCCGTGTGTTGAGGCCTGCGATTCATCTTGTTTTGCTCTTTGCTGTGTGTGTGTGTTTTCGCAAAGTTCACAGTTGAAGCGCAGTGCAACGGTGCAGGTCTGTTTGACTGGCATTCAAATATCTTGGTAAAGCCGGTAAGCCCGCTTGCTAAGGAGCAATTTACGTATCATGGAGGCTGCCTATTTGACTTGTCTTGACTTGATTGTGCGATTCGGCGCACCAAGACGGATGCACTTGCCACGCCCAGGTTGCCACTTACCGCAGATGATCTCATGGCCACAGAGGCAGATGTGTAGTGGGAGGGTTTTGTTGACTCAGTGTTGACTCATTGACTTGTTGACATGCCTCCGATCCAGCGATCCAGGAGCAGTTCAACTGGCATTGTTCTTCGGAGCCACGTAGAATGCAGCACACCCCACGCACAAATGGGCTGGGGCCCACGACATAGAATCATTCTAGCTGCAAGATTTCAGGTTATGGCGTGTAAGCACGCAACATGGATAGCCCTATTTAGACTGATCGTGGGGCATGCGGCGCAATATCCTTTCGCACAGATACAACCGGTCCTGAAACAGTGAAGCATGGCGTGAGACCACAGCCCAAGATCAGGGGTAGGGGGGTAGGGGTTGGATAGACCAACCGCGTGAAAACTGTTACTAGTATCTGGAAAGATGTGAGACACTGGTCTCAACTAGTCTCTGCTTAGGACGCGTTTATCTGCCCTCCAGCCTCGAATGAACATTGGGCCTGCCCAGCCCAACAACAGTTGCACTTAGCTTCGAGCAAGTCCTCATAAGAAAACAATCCTGACTGTTTTGCATGGCCTGTGTGCCGTTTTATGAAGATGGCGTGCTGCAAAGCACGCATGGCAAGTGCAATCCCAGGTGCTGCCAAAAGTCTTTGGTAGACGCGGAACATATCTTATCATGCGCAGTGATAGCTTTTGCACTAGGAATGCTCGGAAAATGCCACGCAGGCCATGCAAAACAGTTATTATTCCCGGGCTCCAAAGAAGCCCTGTTACCTTGTCTTTTCCAACTATCTCACCACCGCCACACATACCATCATTACAAGTAAGGTCCGGCAGAGCCGGGGGGCGGAAGTTTCAAAGCAGTGAACAACTATAGTTTGGAGAACTGTCCTTGGCCCCTTGCTTCTCTCTCTCTCTCTCTCTTTTCTCTCTTTCTCTTTTCTCTCTTTCTCTCTGTTTCTCTGTTCTCTCTCTCTCTCTCTCTCTCTCTTTCTCTCTCTCTCTCTCTCTCTCTCTCTCTCTCTCTCTCTCTCTCTCTCTCTCTCTCTCTCTCTCTCTCTCTCTCTCTCTCTCAAAGCTCCCAACGAGCGCTTCAAGTTCAACTCTCCTCCCTCCCCCCCGGTGGTGTAGGAACCTTCAGAGCCCTGTGACTGTGACACCATGTGACAAAAAGGAACAAGTCTTACAACAAGCCTCACCAAAGCGGCCCCATCTTTTCTACTCCGGGCCCTCTGCTCCGCACGCTCGTAGGCACGCTGGCCGAAGCGCCAAGCGCGTCCGTCGGTGCCAACATCCGTGCTGACACGTCGCGCGCGTCGCCGGCCGAAGCGCCAAGCGACGACTACGCCTGCGTGACATCACGTCGCAGGTGGCAGCTGCCTGCGGCCCAAGATGAGTTCCCACGCAAGTCGTCCGTGCTCTGAAGACATGCGCGCGACTTCGCGAACTTTGCTGAACATGATCCACTGCCTGCACGTCTCCACGCCACTGATGCTCAGACGATCGCACTGCCGCTGAGCCGCTGTGTCCGACACGCCGGGCCCATGGATTGTGTCCCAGCACCGCTCGCACACACCTGTGCGCTCCAGCTCGCGTCTGCCTGGCTCTGTTTGCCACCTGTCGTCGGCTATGGCTTTCGTGCACGCCACGCATTCCTGCGAAGCCAAGCGCTCGGGCACGCTTAGGTTTCTCCTGTACACGTCCTTCAGCGCATTCAGCGCGTCGCCGCTGATGCTCACGAAAGTCGCCATGTCAACGCCGGCCGAAACGCCAAGCGCGGAGACTGCCTGCTATGGCGCGGAGCGGCCGGCCGAAACGCCAAGCCTGCTCCTAACACGTAATGGCCGTGTGACTCGCTGTGGCAAACTTGCTGTGCCGTGGAAAACAGCTCTTTAGTGACAAGATGTTGCGCTGCGTGTGTGCGTGTGTGATGTGTGGGTGTGCGTGTGTGTAAACATAAGCCCAAGTCACAGTAGTAACTGATTTTGAGCCGTTCAAAAAGCAACGACGGCGTTTGGCTGCTGAGCGAACAAAAAACACGGCACCCGTCAATCACAGCCCTCTTGTGTCCCACAAATGAGGCCTTAATAAGGCCTTACTAGGGTGGGGTTCCTTTGGCTTCCCCTTACAACCAACCAAAAAAAAAACAGGCATCAGACTTCACAAAATGGGTGGTGCCCCCTTCTCGTTTCCCGAAAAGAGTGGTTTTCCGTTGGGTTCCCTTTAAAACCGAGCCAAAAAAACAAAAACGGGCACCGAGCCCTGCAAAATGGTGGTCTCCCTTCAAAAAGCCACAAAAACAAATGGGCACCGGACCTCCCAAAATGGACCTTCCGAGGTCTGTTAAGGACAGCAAAGGCAAAAAGAGGTGAGCTCCAGGGGTTGCATCGTGGCTTTTGTCCCACGCGCAAAAGTGGTTGATCCTTCGCCCTTTTAGAAACAAAACCCTTATCAGCGCATTGCTTCTTAATCAAAGAACAAAAAGGCCATACTGGACAAGCTGAACAACACGAAGCCGCTAAAATCTCCCCAGCTCCGTCTCCCGCCCCGCCCCCGCAAAAGCCAGCCTTATTTCTCCGGCGAGCTTGGTCTGTGCGCCGCTGCTCGCGGCCCGAAACGGCACGCGAGCGTTGCGGCTGGTCGTCACTGCTTGCTGGCGCAGCAACTACGCGGCCCGAAACGGCACGCGCAGCGCTACGCTCATGCTTTGGAGTCTCCCGTCCTTGCGCGCTCCAGCAGCCGCTGGAGCGACTCATGCAGGTCCCGCATATACTTCTCTGCTCGCATGCACCACTTCACTTCCTGCACAGAGAAGTTTGGATGAGTTCCGGCCAAGTACGTGACGAACTCGTGCCCCTGATCAATGAGCCCATCCCGCTGGCCGTCGGGATACAGCCGAGGCAGGAACCGCGGCAGCTGCTGCAGCTGCAGCTGTTGTCGCCGATCTTTGTGATACTGCTCACTGTGCGTGCGCGTCAAGCCGCATGCGCAAGCCACCTGCTGGTAGAAACCTATGTTGCGCAGCTTCTGCACGTTGTCTGTGTCCCAGGTGCCGCGGTTTGGACTGGCCAGCGTGCCCAAGAACGAGAGCGCGTGCATCTTGAGAGTGGTGCCGTGGTCCGCCGATAGAGCGTGCCACTGATCGCATGCAGCGCCGAGACCGGCGATGGCTTCGTTGCCGCGGCACATCCTAGACTTCTGCAGCATGTACGGGCAACACTGCTGCACCAGCTGGTAGCTGCGCGTGTACCCGTCCCACACGGGCTGGGCGCGGCCGCCCCACATGGTGTGGACGAAAGCCTGCTGGCACTTCCGCACGTCCTTATCTGCGGGCAGCGCGCGAGCCCACGCCCTTGAGTCATCACTGCAGAAGCGCACACCCGCCCCGTCCATAAAGTCAAGCGCGGTCACCTCGTGCAGGTTCCTGCTGGCAACCTGCCTTGCAAAAAGTGCCCCAATGTGGAACTCTACGGGCCCCCGTAGGTGCGGGTGCATCACATTTGCCGGCTGTAGCCTGGATAACACAAAATGCCCAAGCGCTTGGAACGCCAGCTGCAAGCCGTCGCCTTCGCTGGGCGAAATCCCAAGCGAAGCGAGCGCATCATCGCCGGCCGAAACGCCAAGCGACAGCGTGTGCACATTACTGCGAAGGCCGCAAGCATGTAGTCCGTGCCATAGAAACTCTTCTGCGTGCTGGCCGACGAGCTGGCGCATAGTCAGGCTCGGAGGCAAGGCAGCGGCGACGCGCACATGCGCGTGCGCCTCTTGCACCAGATTCTGCGGCGTGACGTCCACATAGCTGCCGTCGTTGCCGCCCCACGATCCCTCTGCCGCCCTGGCCGTGGGTCTGAGAGGCGCCAGCGCGCGAGGGCACGCGAGCACTTCCTCGGCCGAGAGCAAGGTGTCGTGGTGCACCAAGAAGTGCAAGTCCGGCACAGGAGCTGGCTCGGATACCTCCGACATCTGCGCGCGCTTTGACGCGGCTCGGAGCGCCGCACCGAAGCTTGGGAAGTCTTCGCCCCCAGGGTCCGGCGCCGGCCACAAAAGATACTCGTCCACGAAGTACGCCCACAGGTCGCACTCTTGCAAGCAAGTCTGCATGGCCGCCCACCAGCTCCGTGCGCCCTGTGTCCGCGGCAGAAACACGCAGTAGGCCGACCCCTGCCACGCTTCCGCGGCCACGTTTCGCAGCGCGCAGCAGAAGTATAAGTAGCGCTGCACCTGCATCATGACGTCCACCTCCAGCTCTCGGCAATGCGCGCCGAGGCGGCTCAGCAACTGCGCCGGCACGTACGCGCCGCCTGCGCTCCGCAGGATCGCCATCATGTGTAGGAAGATGGCGAACTGGCACCGACCGAGCCAAGACGTCTGCTGACCCACCAGACTGCTCGGGAGACCGCAGACATCCAGCATGTGGCTCTCGTGGGCATTGAGCTCGTCTCGCAGAGCGGCGTCGGCCGTGAGCCTCGCCTCGAGCGCGCCTGCCGCCTGGCCCCATGTGTCTGCAGCTGAAGAGTCCAGTAAGTACATGGCGGGCTTGTGCGATCCGCGCGCCGGAGCAAACATAGCGGATGCCGCCTGCTCGTCCTCGGACATGTCTACGTGGGCACACGCCGCGACAGCCAGAAAGTCAGCGCGGCGACGGATGGCCACCGCCCGCCGCCTGCTCTCCACTTCTATGACTTCCGGCCTGGGATGGAAGCGCACGGACCTTGCCGCCCGCTCCGGCGCGTCAGTGGACGAGGCCGGCCGAAGCGCCAAGCCACCGCCCTCCACTCTCCCGGCCATCGTCTGGGACGCACTGGGGTCGAGAAGGCCTTGCTGCAACATTGTCGCACGCACGCAGAGACACCAGCTGGCGTCCACCGGGACGTCGCGAGGGCTGCACAAGCTGCATTTCTCCGGAAGCGACTCGCAAATGCACTGGAAGCATGGCTGCCAGCTAGCCAGCAAGGAGTTCTCCGCGTTGCTCGCGGTCTGAAAAACCATCACTGCGTGCCGCTCTGCTCCGAGAGCGTGCAGCAGCTGTTGTTT